GTTGCTCCTGAAACCAAGCATTATTAATAATTACAATTATATATCACTTTTTATCCAAGATGGACCCATATAATTAACATGCTGTCCTGTTTATCAATGTGTTAAAATAACCTTAAAGTACCTTACAACTGGTAACAAAATGCATATGTAAAAGGAAATTTTAATGACTATACATTTTGAAGGCTTGACACTGTTCTCATTTAGTTGTTAAATAGTTTGACATCCTTAACACAAAGGTTACTTAAATCATATTCTTACGCATTTAACCTGTCAGCTATTTTCTGCCATGCAGCCTGACGAGCTTTGATAATACAGCTCGTGTTCCCCTTTCTAGTTATTATATCTTTGTAGTCCTCATAGGCTTGTAATAATAATTCTTGCTCTGCCTGGGAAAAAAACGCAGCTCTTTCCTTAGTTTCCATTCTTACTTATCCAGCATCGATTAACAAGGCTGCCTTTTATATCACGCAGACGCACACGAGCCTCGCTTATCAAGCTTGGCTTGAATTAGCGGAGATTAAATACACCTGAATTTTGTTCGTGGAACTCAATGAGCCTGAAGTGAACTGTTAGGCTAACTCAAGCGAGGCTATTACAAATAATCCTCGATTTTATAAGCTCGCTTCGTGGAACAGCCCCCAGATTTAAAAATGAAATATAAAAATGTTACTAGTCATATAAATAAAAGGCTTTGTCATGTTTTGATTGCAATTGCTCCCCCTCCAATAACTCACTAATAACTAACAAAACATCTTGCCACAGTGGGCAATTTTAGCCTGGACTTTGGGGTACCCCCTCTACTCTTTAGAAAAATGTCTAGGGATCTTTTATGACCTCAGAGAGTCAGGACCTCGGTTTTATGTCTCATCCAAAGGATGTCACCTTTTTTCAGCACAGTGTCTCTGTCAATGTACTGGGGCATTGGGATACACACTGACCACAGGATGACCTAACCTGTTGGCTACACTAACACCTCTTCCAGCAGCAACCTAGTTTAACTAGTTGGTCTCACATCCAAAACAGACACATGAAAGTGTCCAGAAGCTACAAAATGTCCCCGGCCCAGAAACTTGTAACCAGGTGTGCAAGTGCCTATAGTAAAAGACCCCTGGACTACATGACAAAAAACAAGCTGCCTGAGTTTCCAACACCCATCACAGCTCGATTACCATAGAGAGAGATGTGACCCACCCTCTGGTCGCAGCTCATGGGCGAGCGCCTGGTGGCTGGGCCTCTACCCATAGGGCCTAGTAGGGCCTACCCCGAAAGAGGAACATGGGTCCTTCCTCCTGTGGGCTCACCACCTGCAGGAGAGGCTGTGAGGGTCAGGTGGCAGTCAAAGGCAGGAGCCTCAGTGGACAGATTATCAGTCACCAAATTTGGCTATAAGAACATAAAGTTTCTTCTGCTTTAATCATTTTTTGTTACTAGAAAGATGTGTGTTTATGATCATTGTTCTGCTGCATGATCCACTTTCTCTTGAGCTTCAGTTATTGTGATGGTTACCGAACGGACACTGTTTAATGGAAGGGGATTTGGCCAAGGAAAATCAGAGTCAGCATGAGGATAAACTAAATTTAATTTCAAGAAACCATTACAAAATACTAGCCTGCAACGGACAACTCACAACAGTTGCAGAGCCTCTGGGCTCCCACGCAACATAAAAAAAGAGAAAAAAACCTTCCCCCCATAAGACTAGACAAGCAAACATATAGCAGGTGGCCAGTACCATTTACAAACCATAGTGAACACATAAATTAATTAACCCTCTAGACAATAATAAAAGACTAAGATAAAAGCACACTCTCTTACATATGCAGATAAGCAAATTTCCTAAATAAGTACAAAACCAATCCATTCCTTACAGCACATGAAAAGACACAATACAGAGGTAGTTTGGTCAAGGCCACCCCTGTCATCCCCCTGGCCATAACGAACATAGACTAGGCCAATTAGGCCCAGAACCAAATAATAAGGCTTTGCTTCCTGAGGGAACCCTTTTGCTGCCAGACCGAAACCAAAACACCCACCACACCAAATGGTAATCCCTCTTGAACGCTTTCCCTGTGCGGTCACTCTGTGACCGTCACAGTTATCAATGTTGTTATTGCTATTACTGTTGTTGATACCGCTTGTTGTTTTATTTTTATATTATTATTATTATTAATATTATTTTTGTTTTGTTTTTCTTTGTTTGTTTTGTGTTTTTGTGCGGCAATCTGTGTGGTCCCTTTTTCTTTATTTCTCCCCCTCAAGCTTCTTCCCCCACCCTTGTTCTCTGTCTTCCCTAAACTCTGCTTGTAATTTTCTTTATATAAAAAAGAGAAAAGGAAAGAAAGGAATTAAGAAATTCAAATTAAAGCAGTCCTCCACAGAGGGGTGGTGGTGGAGGGAATATTAAAGAAAAAAAAAAGCTTTATTGTAGTTTCGCCATTGCATTTTGGTGGCTAGTTTTTGGCAGTTTATCATAAGCTTCTATGAGTCATTGAGAGAAAATTACTCCGGTAACTAGTCAAAAGCAGACAGGTTACTGCAAGGCAAAGTTGGCATATCAAAGTAAAGTAAAGTAAAAAAAAAATTATATTAAATAATTAAAGAATTAGTGGTTTTCATTGTTTCACCCCATATTCCCAGAGCACCCCCCACAGGACTCCCCGAGGGACACGGTCGAATGCCTTCTCCAAGTCCACAA